GTATGACTTACAAGAGTTTCAAATAGTTATCCAAACAAAAACTAAAATTTTTTAAATAATCACTTAATTTTTTTAATATTTATATAAAAATATATAAACAATTCGAATTCGAATATAATTTGATCGGATATAAATATATTCAAATCCGAATCAAATAAATATAAGATGTCAGAATCGAATACGGATTCAGATTATAAGTAAAAAATATCAATCTATATTCGACTAATTAATCAGATTCAAATCCTCATCGAATTCATTGACAGACGTATATTTAACTGCTGTCATCAGAAAGAGAGTAGCTGAATCTTAAAATGATGCCGGCTAACCAACAACGTCATTGTAATTGTTAAATATAGATTCAATGTTCAAGTTATATATTAAGACTAATACATCAAGAACATAATTAATGTCAATGGACTACTTTTTCGATGACCCTCAAGTGGGAATGGGATACATAAAGTGCTGTTTCGCTGCCGGCCGGCCAGTTTGCCGACTAGTAGTGATGTGCATAAGGCCAAGAGGAAAAGATAAACTTGTCAATTAAGCTGATGCTAATTCCTATCCAACTATATTCTATTTCTATGGTTAAAAATAAACGGGTGCACATCACTGTCCCCATTGTGCGACTTAGTTCGATATCACAATCAGAGAATTATTTGAGAATTATAGGTAAAACAACGTTACTTATCGAAAAAAAATGTTACTTAGAAAAATTATGTTTTAATATCGTATAAAAAGAAGTAATTTAACCCAAAAATTATATATTTTGACAAATTACACGCGAAACTATTAGGCTATCATGTTCTATTAGGGGTGCAAGTAAGATGAATCAATTTACAAGTAACTTGGAACCATATAATCCAATCCGACCAAAATATGGGTTGGGATTTTAGAGTTTAATTTGAATTTTGACTGATTTGTTAAATACTTTCTTTGAATTTAACTCGAATTTTGACACGAGAACTGAAGACGATGTCCAACCCAGATTGTGTTACCCGAGTTCAATTGGGTTTAACTTTAAGCACGAGCAGAATGCGTATGATCATCTTTTCAAGGTAGCTTAAGTAATAACAAAGATGAATCGTAAATTTACATGTTTTAAATTTAAATTTTAGTAATTTCTTGGTGCCGGACTATGAGAGATTTATCTCTTATGAATATTTTAATATTGGCGTATATGGTTTATTTTTGATTGAACCGAAAAAAAAATTAGTCGAGATATACATAAATTAACATGGATACTCCCGACCATTAAACCAAAAACAAAAAATGTTTATGAGCCGTGCCTCTCTGGTACAAGAATCTGGCCTCTACATTTTGTCCTAAACTGTCACAACAAAATTCTTTGTACTTGATGAGACTTCCTTCGGAATATCAAGCAAGTTATTGGACATATGCATAGATAGATGGGAAATACACTTTAATGACCAGAACAGATGATCCCATAAGAAAGGTAGGCTTTTCGATCACAGAAAAAACAAAAAACAAAAAACAAAAAACAAAAGACAAAAAACAAAAAAAAAGAAAAAGAGAGGTAGGATCAGCTGAATCAAGGCTCAGCAGTAAGACTCAAGCATATACGGTCTTGGTAGAATATATAATTATCCACAAAAATAAATCCAAAATTAACAAAAAACTTTCAACTATGGCAATATGACGAAAATGGATAAAAAAAAAAGAAGAAAATTCTATGAAATTTGCGACATTCCACAGCTGCTAATTTGCTTTATTGTCTCTATACACGAGAGACAAATATCCATAATTAAGGTGGGCAATGAATTGTTCTTTTGGTGCTCAGAAGGTTCTCTTACATCATTAGTCCAACGTATGTGTTAAAGATTATCGAAAAAATGTCTCTTTGATCAATTTTTTTCAACTCAGTTTGTCTTGCAGTTATTGAAAAAATCATCCATTTATCCGTCATTCTTTGATATAATTAGTGTTTTAGGTAATTCCTTGTAAAAATAATGTGACAACGGCACTTTCCTAATGTTTCGATGAAACATATTGAATTCAATTCCTAATCGGCTAATCACAAAGTTAGGATGGACTCCGCTATGGTATTGGCAAAAAAGAAATTTAATATTCTACTTTTAAAATTTATTATTTTAATAGGTATTTTTATTGTTTTTGTGAGTCTTTTTATTAATTTTGTGAATATTTTTATTATAATTGTGAGTATTTTTATCACTATTGTGATAACTATATACTTATAATAATTACAAAAATATTTATAAATTTATACTATTTATAAATATCAGCATGTGTGAAAAAATTTTGATTTTCTATTTCACCCTTAATTATTATCATAAAACTAATTATATCCACATATTTTCCTATCTTTCATACTTACTTGACTTCCAAAATATTAGTTAGATAAATTTTATCTTTATGATTTGGTAGATAAACTTTATCAAAATATTAGCTATATCAACTTTTATCTCTATAACTTGATAGATAAATTTTATCTCTATAACAATACATTCTTTCTTTTTCATTCAATTGTACAAACTCTAGTAGAATTCTAACACCACATATTAGTAATTTTTAGGTGATACATTATACATATTTTTTTGTCTTTTCTACTTATTAAACTTCTAAATGAGATCAAATTTTTTTGCAAAGTTATTGAACAAGTTTTTTCTTTCATTCACGTTAGAGGTAGAAGTTGGCACGTCATAGTCATTTATTTGAAGTCTTATGATCTCATACTCTTCTGTGACAAACTCAATAAAATTGAAGTTGGAGTTTTCGGCATAATTGAAGTTAGTTTATTAATTCATCTATTTTAGTTTATTAATTCCTATATTTACATTAATTCTTATGTTCTGTGACACTTAATTTTTTTTAATTTAATGTCAAGTAACTTTCTATGAGATTGGTGTGACCAATGTTATCAGAATCGAACCGGTCATCGAATCGGCAAGGGAATCGGGTTAATGATTTATTGGTTTAACCGTTAGGTCAACTGGTTGGACTGGTTATTTAATAAAAAAATAAAAAATATATATAATAATTATAAAACTTAATAATTTAGCTAAAAAATATAAAATATGTATAAAATACATATAATTTGCCATAAAATTAATGAAATTAAGTAACAAAGTGGGGGTTATTGTATTTTAAAGTAAAGTAAAGAGGTTCAAGTAAATTATAAAGAAAAAGAAAGGGTGTTATTTATAATTTATCCAAGAATAAGGTTAAAAAAAATCAGCTATTTACTGATTTAGGGCAAAAAATTTTATTTATGTAATTTAATTTTTAAATAGGCATTAAACCGTCCGATTTTTATAAAATCGCTAATTTACAGTTTTTGTTAAAAACCGGCCAATTTTCTTGTTTTTAGTCGGTTCACTTCGTTAAGCGGTTCAACTAAAGAATTGGATCGGTTAGGGTCCCGGTTCACTGTTAAACCGGTCCGATCGGCTGGTCCGGTCCGGTCCGATTCTGATAACATTGGGTGTAACATGTCAAGTATTCGGCATAATAATTGAGGTTAGTTTATTAATTTTTATGTTTTAGTTTATTAAATTGGTGTGACAAGTCGAATATTCGGCATAATTGATGTTAGTTTATTAATTCCTATATTTACGTTAAAATTTTTTATGTTAGTGTTTCTTTGTTTTATTGCAACCTCTCGTGAATTCATTTTTTCATTGTTCATATAACTAATATTTTAAAGCTTGTTCAAATCTCCTATAATATTGACTTAATTATTTTTAATTTTTGAATTGATGGTAATTTTTAACATTTATTGAGACCAACAATCAATCCAATAATAAATAAATTAAATTCAACATTTTTTAGGTATTTTTATATGTACCATATTGTTGAGTATTTTTATTATTTATTGGTTGAAATTTATCAAATTTTGAGGTAAAAAAATTAAGTGCTTATTTTCTTGGTATTTTTATTATTCGCTTACCTTTACAAAAAATAATTCAATTTTATTACTCATCGACTTTGTATTATAAATAAATTTACTAACAAATTAATGAACTAAATTTTTTTTTTACATGTGCATTGCTAGTATAAAAAATATCTATATAAAATTGAATTAGTTTTTAATTTTTTGATATTTTTGACCCACGGAATCGTAGAGAATCCTCTTGTCCAACTCTATCCGGTTGTCATCTAACGCGCGTCGATAATCTTAACCATTGAATAGATAATGGATCCCAATAAATGCTAGGACCTACAGTGAAATCAATGATTGAAATTATCAAATCTAATTTTTAAATATATTTTTTAAGTCCGTGTAACATTGCTCATGTTAATATATGTAAAAAATTAAATGATGTTAAGTCCGTCAAACTCTACATATCTTTATTAATGTTATTATTTTTATTTCCATGTTCTATCAAAATTCTTCTTATCATCTAAAATTAGATCTTTTGGTATTGCTCTACTTATTCTTATAACTCATATATTTATTAATATCATCATTTTTTCTTCCATGCTATATTAAAACTCTTCTTATCATATAACATTAAACAATATTATTTGAATATAATTTGAAGACTTAATTTAATACAATCATTAAATCGACAGTGAGTTTCATCTAACATTTGAACACACAAGTAATCCAATAATTACATTGAAACCACATCATTAAATCCTTAAATTAGATTTCTATAACATTACTCTATAATGTCTCTAATCATTGGCTTTACTTATTCTTATAGCTTTAGTCTTTAATTACAATGCAAACTCTGCTAACTCAAAGAACTAATTATCCAGAAAAAAAAAGTGGAACAAAAAAAAAGTACTGTATAATTAGATTAATAACTAATGAGCAATGTTATGTGCGAATAAAATTATCCATAACTAATACTACTGTGTTGCAAGCTGGAACGTCACACACTATGGCGTCTGATTCTTAGTGGCTTTGTTGGTCCTGTAGTGTATTAATTAACTCGACTCTGCCCCTTTAAATTCCTTCCTTCTTCGCTTGATCTCAAACATCTTCACCATCCCTGAAATCCCCAATTTCCCCAATAATGGATGTTCAAGGGGATGAAGAAACAGGAAAAGGGTCAGTCCAATCGTCTGGAAAATTGTCCAGTCTCAGGCTCAATTCACCCCTAATGCAAGTTGGATTGATTGGGCTTGTCTGTTTCTGTTGCCCTGGCATGTTCAATGCTTTATCCGGGATGGGTGGTGGTGGCCAGGTGGATCCCACTGCGGCGAACAACGCCAACACCGCTCTTTACACCACCTTCACCGTCTTCGGCATTCTCGGCGGTGGCATCTACAATATTTTAGGTCCACGCGCCACCCTAGTCTGCGGTTGCTCCACCTATATCCTCTACGCTGGGTCTTTCCTTTATTACAACCACTACCAACACCAGGCCTTCGCCATCACCGCCGGCGCTTTCCTAGGCATCGGAGCCGGCCTCCTTTGGGCTGCCCAGGGCGCAATCATGACCTCTTACCCTCCCCATGACCGGAAAGGCACATATATCTCCGTGTTCTGGAGTATTTTCAACATGGGTGGAGTTATTGGTGGGCTCATACCTTTTATCCTGAATTACCATCGGAAAGAGGCCACCTCTGTAAATGATGGAACCTATATTGGGTTCATGGCTTTTATGACTGTGGGGACTATCATCTCACAGGCTATTATGCATCCTAGTCGTGTTATTCGCGACGATGGTACTCGGTGCACCAACATAATGTACTCCAGTGTGTGTGTTGAAATCGTTGAGGTTCTCAAATTGTTCCGCAACTGGAAGATGCGCTTGCTGGTCCCTGCGTCTTTGGCTAGTAACTTCTTTTATAGCTACCAGTTCAATAATGTTAATGCGGCTTTGTTCAATTTGAGGACTAGAGGGTTGAACAATGTATTTTATTGGGGTGCACAGATGATTGGCTCTGTTTTCATCGGATATATAATGGATTTCAGTTTTAAGAGCAGAAGGATGAGGGGATTGGTTGGAATTGGAGTTGTGGGTTTGCTAGGGACTGCGATTTGGGGTGGTGGGCTTGCCAAGCAGCTTGACTACTCTCGCCATGATGAGCTTAAGATAAAGCTGGATTTCAAGGATGGTTCTGATTTTGCAGGGCCTTTTGTCTTGTATTTTAGCTATGGATTGCTTGATGCCATGTTCCAGAGCATGGTTTACTGGGTTATTGGAGCTTTGGCCGATGATTCTGAGATCCTTAGCAGGTACTTGTTTCATCATACAGCTACTAGGACATTCATATAAATCACTATCCTAGTTTATGCTAAAAAAAATTGTTGTTTGGAATATATGTTGCAGGTATAATGGGTTCTACAAGGGAGTGCAGAGTGCAGGGGGAGCAGTTGCTTGGCAAGTTGATGCAAACGGGATGCCATTCCTAAACCAACTGATTGTGAATTGGGTGCTCACTACAATAAGTTATCCTTTGTTGGCGGTTCTCGTCTTTTTGGCCGTCAAGGATGACAACAAAGCTGAAGAGGGGACGTCAAAGGAGCTTGCTCTTCCATCGGCTATCCATGCCTCCACAGATGATGCCAATGGTGGGCTTGGCAAGCCAACCTAAAGATCAGTTCCTTTCTATTGCCTTCTACGCCTTATTTTCAGTATCGTTTTGTTCTTCATATGTCAATTATATTTTTTTGAAGCTGAATTTTCATTTCAGCTGTAAGTGTAGTGTGCCAGGAATCACAGTTTATTAATATATGGTTGAAAGCCATGCTTTGTGCAGACTTTTTCTTCTGAGAAATCCATTGTTTTGTCTTCACTTCAGCAAGTTTTGTTCGTGTGCTTCCAATATGCTCAACCAAAATTTGAAGTGTGTGTTATGATGTACTGCGCTCGCTATTGTTGATTATAAAGTCCTTTATTAAGCTTGGATTTGTAAGTACAGATTTAAAACAACATGAAGAACATAAGCAAGAGACCAATTCTCTAGTTTTTATACCTCAGCCATGATTTCTATGTATTTCCTTTTCCAAATTTGATCTGATGTCCCCCTATAATATTTATAGTCCCATTCAAATTTTATTTCATAAGCTTAGTTTTTATGGAACTTCAGTTGATCCTTCTCCTTACCTTTTTTTGGGAAGAAATGGAGGATCCAAACAAAATCGATGAAATGGAAGAGACCAGAATGAATGGAAAAGAAAAATCAAAGGATCAATTTCACTTTCATTTTACAAAGCCATCCAATGACAAACAAGAACAAGTTTCTTCTTATTTGTGAAAAAATTAATTCAGTTGTGAAATTGACATCCTACACCATTGCTTTTGTAAGCTTTCAGAACCCTGGTTGATTCCCACCAAGCCCAAGCCAAGCTGCTTAAACTACTCTTTAGAAAATGTTGAAATCACATCACCCTTGCTTAGCCACTACCAAATGTCATATTCTATGACACACGGAAAATCCATTTAGGTCGTCATATCCGTCTCAGATATGATATTCATCGGATACACACCAAAGTATCCAATAATTATTAAAATATTTCTTTATTGGGTTAGTTCTCAGATATGGTAATCCAACACGAATATGCTTTAGCAATGGAAGTGGAGGCACAATATGTATGATTTTGAATTTTATCTTTACTTCTTCCTCTTGAATTCGCATGCGATGAGACATAAAGAAAACTCTTCTCGGAAGGCACATGGGGGTTTATCAAGTATTATCTATTACCACAAGTCAAAAAGGCATAAAATGGGTGAATTATACTTTATCTCCCAGTAACAAGTACTTCTAAGTAAACCAACTTGTTGAATGGTAGTTCTATTTTCTTAATTTAGTCACGTTCATTTTGTAGTTTTACCATGATGAGACAATCCATTATTTTTAAAAGTAATGGTTTATGTAAGAACTTACAGAAAGCTAATAAGTATTAATTTGTCAGATAATAGAGAAAATAATATATATATATATATATATATATATATATTATTATAGATCTTGACCGTTTTTGTATCCTAATTCTTTTATATTTTAAGATATTGCCCTATCGGTATCCTACTGTACTTGTATTCTATACCGTAGCCATTTCCGTGTTTATTAGGAGATATGTAATAAGCTGGGGATATGATGGCAGCAAAGTCACCTTGTTTTGGCAATATAGTAGCTCCTAGTTCTTCCTCTTCCTTATTGCCCTACAGACATTGATTGGAATACCCTTCTTCACAGGATCACCAGCTATTGAGCATAAGACATGCTAAAATCAAACTATGCCATACTACTACAGCCAGCGTATCAAGATAAGACTTGGAAAATAGAACCAATTGCAAGCACAAGATTTTGATTGTCTAATCAGATTGTAATTGGCTTCCGTTAGATCCTGTCATGGATTATACTCTATATATTGTTGGTTACGAAAACAACATTTGCTATGTAAATTTTTCATAAGGAACCTCCCCCGGCCAAACATGTGCGCATGCACACACGGACTTTGAGTGTTATTGTATCTCTTTTCCTGGTGTTTCTATCTTATGTTATGGTAATGAAACGGTGGTCAATTATTATTCTCAAAATGGATATGCCACCATTGCACAATTCCACTGATTCTTTGGAAGAGGGGTTTTAGTATAAAAATAAAAATAAAATAAAAAATTGATGGTTATAAGGATCGGTATTTTGAGATTCTTAGTTCTTTTCACTTGAGTATTGTTTCCATGACCTTCGCGGATCATTAATTTTTGTTCCCTTTCTTTTGAACTTCAATTATTATTTGAGAAGTGATGCACTGACAGTAAACTGAAGAATACACGCAATCAGGGGTAGTAAAAAAAAAAGAGAGCGCTTACCTTCAGCTGCATTTTGCAAATGAGTGCAGTCGGAAAGTGATCAACAATACTTGTATTTGTATTTTGCTTAGAAGGTAATAAACTGTGCTTGGACAGTAGAAAATTGTTGTTTTTCTGGGTATTGTTACCTAGGCCAGAAGTTGGGGAATCCTCCGAGAAAGATTTTGGAAGTCTTGTATTTCCACGGGAAAGTGAGGGTGTCATGCCCCTCAAGCACAGAGGGACTGTATCATCAATGGAAATCTCTGTTTTGTTTCTCATCTCTACCGCTCTCATTTTAACTAAAGACGAGAACTTTGCATCTCTATTCGGTTCATGAGATGCATCTAAAATGTAATTGGTAGTTCTATTATTCTCCTCTTTCGGGCTTCTCTCCATTCAGTTCATGAGATGCATCTAAAGGCTCTTCGTTCGTCACTTCGTTGCTCTCCTGCATGTAACAAAATTTCCAATGATGGAAAGAAAAAGAGAGAAATACCAAAATTATTTAAGATATGACGAAGATGATCGATTCAACCTCTGATAAAAAAAATATACCATTTCGGGAAAGAGAAGGTTCACCAAGATCTGGGTAAGCTCCTTTACTAACTGTCGGGTCTTATCATATGATGGAGAATCAACCTTGGACTTAACCTCTGGCTGTGAGTCAACCTTGGACTTATCCTCCTTTAATGGCTGTGGGGTCTTATTCTTAGTGTCTGAATCAACCTTGATGCTACCTATTTCTAGAAGCGCAACCTCTGGCTGTGGGATCTTTTTCTCTGGCTGTGGGATCTTTTTCTGAGTGCGTCCCGAGAATTTGTATATGCTGACCACTTGAGCTATCGTGCTGGCAAGATCGGAAGCACTAGTAGGAAGCAATATTGTGCCCTATAGGAAATAGGGAAATTTTTAATGAATCATTCAAACAATGAAGTAGGTACTGTATTACAACTTTAATTTACCTTCTCTGCAATCTTGCTGAAGGCTTGAATATACTGCTCAGCAATTCTCAAACATGCAGCCTGCAAATCCCAAAACATTTATAGGTGCATTATCCAAATAATTCTAATAACAGTTTCTAAATATTAAAAATCCCTCATGGCCACTAGAAGTATGATTCACGACCAATCTAGAGCTGTGAACCAATGTTTTCACCGACTTTAGCCCTTTTGTATTTACAATTACGGGGAAAAACCACACCTAAATTGCTAAATACTGGGATGATTGCTAGAAAACTCTCATGAAGAACCAAACATTCACTAGCAAGATAAAATGGAAGACTGAAAAAGGTCATCAATGTAAAAACTAAGCCAACAAATATAAATCTATTCTAATTCCGCAATTGCATTTAGCATATGCAATAAACCTTTAAACCCCTAAGTGATCCCTAGTGGACGAGTTTTGTCTTGTGAATCTACCTACAAACTTCTCTTCCTAGTATCCAATATTTAAAGCATATTCTCTTATCTTAATTAGCACCGGGACGTCAACAACTTTGTTCAACACATTTGAACTAATCACACATGAAACACATCATAACTTTAAATGCTATTCTAGAGTATACACCTACACATTTCCTTTCAAAACTTTTGTGTGTGTGAAATGAATATGTAATTTAAGCATTTACTCAACGGAATCCACATTCACTTAGCTATCCAAATTCAGCTTTGATGCAAAAACTCATCAAGGGTTTCTCTTAACAATGAATCACACTATGATTATCTTGGTATGCTTTCCATGTGTGTATGTGAGATAGAATATTATGCACAAACCAAAGTATGCTCACATATAATCTAAAAATGAAGTATGCATAAAACTGAAACAATCTTGACATAATCTCATGAAAGGAATGCTAGAGCATTAGATAGCAAAACTAACTTCTCTTTTTTTTTTTTAAAGTATGCATCCCCCATGCTTCTCTAGATCATTTAGGACTTTCATAGATTGTAATGAGGCCTTGAGGTGATATCTTGGTAAATGAATGAAAGATATGAGATAATAAAGAGGGTTGTTCCGTTAAAAATAAAAATTGCAATCCAACTTATTAAAATAAATAGTACATATTGTCTCGAATCTAAAAAAATTGGTTGTGCTAAATTCAAACTCCCCTATGATTTATTATTAATTTTTTAAAATTTTTTATAAAATAAAAAAAATGGGATTATCAAATAATTAAAAATTGCACAAAAATTATTAAAAATTAGAAAATTTCAAACCGACTGATTAAAATAAAAAGAACATATTGTCTCAAGTCTAAAAAAATTTGTGGCATTGAATATAAACTCTCCTATGATTTATTATTAATTTGTTGATTTTTTTCTAAAATAGAAAAAATGGATTATCAAAGAATTAAAAATTGCACAAAAATTATGAAAAAATAGAAAATTAAAGTCTAACTGATTAAAATAAAAAGTACATATTGTCTAGAGTCTAAGAAAATTGGCAGGGCTAAACTCGAACTCTTGTCTGATTTATTATTAGTTTTTTGAATTCTTTACTAAAATGGAAAAAATGAGATTATCAAAAAATTAAAAATTGTACAAAATTATTAAAAATTAGAAAATTACAATCTATCTGACTTAAATAAAAAGTACATATTGTCTAAATTCTAAAAAAAATTGGCAGCCCTGAATTTGGACTCTCCTATGATTTGTTATTAATTTTTCTTTCCTAAAATTGAAAAAATGGATTATCAAAGAATTAAAAATGCAGCCTCCTTTACAAAGTTTAGCTCAAAGCCTGAAAAAGGTCATCAAAGTTTAGCTCAAAGCCTCACCCTATTCACAACTGTTTAAACCCTCAGCCCTAAGTTCATCATAGTTATACTCGACTTTTGTGGCGCGACAACAGATTTCTTCGATTGAATAACAAGCCAGTTGGATTTAGATAAGCAATTGTGTGGTTAATTTGAGATTTAAGGAAGGGAGACTTCTACATTGTATCAATGTATAACTACAAAAAATGCAATCAAACTACTGAATGACCTTACCTCCATGCTCCCATGTTCCTTAAGTGTCTGTGATACCATAGCAATTCCTTTGGAAGTTGCTTGCGCTATTGCAAGGATGGCTTCTGCTTCTCCTGATTTATTAATTTGAATTTTTTTTTTAAAGAATCAGGACAGAAGTTGCCAACGAGAAGGGAAATCAACACTGGCATAAAGGAGCGTCGATATGATCCATGGCATCATTGAAAGGATTAAAAAGCACAATAGGTGTGGGGTCAAGAGAATGAACGATCAATTTGAGCAACATTGAACATCAAGAAGATCACATATTACAGGCAATCAAAGAAACATATATGAGTTCCCTCAGCGGCAGTAAAAAAAAGGCAAATTCTGTAAAGACTAGTGCATAACAACCTTAAAAATGAAATTCATCTCCAATGGAAATGTTACATAGGAACTTGTAATGCCTATTTTTAAAATTAACAAATCGGCTCCTTCCTCCCCTCCCCCTCCAAAAAAAAAGCCCCTCCTTTTATTGAATAAATTGAGGACACAAAATTTTACCAGTATTTTTTGTCATTATTTTTTGTCATTATTATTTATCATTACCCAACATCCGATGTTATTTGACTTTTCAAAATGCATGAATCACTTTTGTCAGATACTCAATTCTTCAATAGGAGTGGTAATGTCACCGACATGTTCCAATTGACATTCACCGAGCAAGGTTGTCTAGAAATTCAAGTTTATCATTAAATTGCACTAGAAGTCTCTTATATCACACAAAACACCATTTTACCTTGGAAATATTTAAGAAATAAGCATTAAGGTATCACTCTATTTTGAATATCAGATGAATACCACGCTCAAAAACATGCCTGCATCTGACATGTATCCGAGTCCATGTAACACAGTCCAACAGTATAATAGCCACAAATGCGCTATTTGCCAGGGAGGTAAAAAGGGGAAGCAGTAATGTGATTGATAGAATATGATAACTAACCTTGAGCTCTGTTAATCTGGTCCATCTTCGCAGCTTCTGATGCAAGGATGACTGAGATCTTTCTCCCATGTGCAATATTAATGTTTGTCTGCCTTTCTCCTGTTAAATATTGAAGCACATCAATTACAAGAAAATACACAAAGAAGAACATTGGTTTTGTCTACTATGTTCCTTGCAAAAATTGTAAGGTTTCAGGCAATTTTTATCCATTCCTAGCCTGAAGTGAGAATAGCAACCAGTGGAATTGTTCCTTGACACACCCTAGGCCAAGAGTTTTGAATGGGACGGGGATTGGGGCAATTTCTAAGCTTGGTAACAAAAATTACAATGATTCATATCAGGGAAACCTTACCTATGGACATTTCCATCAGGGAGATTGGGAAGTTAGCTGCATCTAGACCGTAGTTTCATTCACATTGATGGGAGCAACAGATGATACATTGATATCTATTGGTGGTAATAGGATGATTTCTTACAGCCCCATTCTCTAAGTAAAACGGACAGAGAACCAAGAGTCACTCATCCACAACCCAATTTTTAGAGAGCTCGGAGTACTGACTGTGGGACACTCAGTACTCTGACCCCCTTTGTCGTCTCCCGTCACTCCTATCTTCCCAACTAGTTTCAGTTTTTGGATCCTACTTTTTTGGTGGTGGAGAATTTTTTTTGGCTTTTGGTCTGAGTTCATGGTCATCCCAGCATTGTTTGTAAAAATACCTCAGTGTGTGTCATAAGTTGTAAATTTGAGGGGTATACTAGAAGATTTTTTGTGAATTCCTGTGTTTTTTTTTTATATAAATAAGTAGTAGTCCGTGAATTCTGGCATCCACAGTAAACACATTGGAGCTCTTGCTTAAATGGTGGCATTAGAGTTATTTCAATACTTAAATGGTGCATGTATTGGATTTTGTGCCATTCTTTCTTTTGGTTAACCTCCTCCTTTTATTGAATTCTGATATGTCTCAATCAGTTATCAAAGAAATAAATTATAAAACCATGTGAATGAAATAATACTTGTTTAATAACAAGTATGCTGCACCCTCAACCCTACCTATTCAGTAGACTATTAGATTGCACAAATTAAACTCAATTACAGATCACAGAGGGGGAGGATGAAAACTTCGTTACCTTCTGATATAAGAACCTGAGCTCTCTTTTTGCGCTCTGCTTTCGCCTGCATCTCCATAGCTGCCATCACTTCCCGGGGAGGAGATATATCCCCTTAAAAAGAAAATATATGGGACTTATATATCACTTGCCATTGAAAAATACAGATGAACAAAAATTCTTCAACCTACTTATTTTATAACGCAGACATTTCAGACCCCAATCTGTTGCCGCAACATTGACGGCCATCTGAAAACAAAGCACACTTGTAGAGCAAGCAATTCTAAGCATATAACATGTATAGCAACAACGAGCTAAACAGTATAGGTGTAAAAACAATTGTATTATAGAAAAGAAAAACATCCAATTCCACAATAACAACTACATACAAGAATAACTTCCATTAAAATAATTGGTTGATGTGTACAATAAGATTTCAAACAGAACTTTTATTGGTAATATTAGAAAATAATACATATATTATCATATTACTTTGTCCTTTATCTCAACAACTGGATTCTCGAAAGTTCACAAAACCTCCAAAAGTGCTCTTACGTCCTAACAAAAGAGTTAATGCATATGATATGCTCATTTGTAATCGATTTGACATGTGTGAAAGACAAAAAATACGCAAACAACTTTTATCTATTATGAAGAATTATGGAGGTTAATCATAAACAACAGTACTCCTAGACAACCAATTACCACACATAACATTGTTAGACTACAAGGGCATATCCTCTTCTAATGTTTAAAGTAACTGGTGTGCAGTGTTGTTAAATTACAGTTTAAATTACAACTTTCTGAATCCAAAAGCAGAGATACGCAGTTTCAATTATTGCTAACAAAAAGACCAATAGTAAACTTTACACGAAGTAAACATGTGAAACCTCACTAGTGTTGAGTTACAAAGGTGTCCACAGGGCACTTCCGTAAAAGTGATAAACCACAAATCATAAATTCGAGCAATGAAGCCTATAAAATATAACCAATGTAACAACTAGCAACTCATGCAAGGTGATATCCTTGCTACAAAATGAGATAAACCAGCAAACAAATAACTAGGAGAAAAACAAAAGGCTATAAAACATTTAACCCCACTCAGTTAACAGCTCACCACTATCTTGTCGTTTAAAGTATCTCTTGCCTTGAAAGTCTCATCCAGAGTGATCTTCCGAAGCTCACTGCGCATAGTTGTCTGTGCAAGTAGCGTAACTGCATACAACGGATTCTTAACTCCGTAAGACGCTAACCGCGGATCTACAATCTGCAATCAACCAATCCAATTACAATCTACTAAAACACCTAAAACACTATCAAAATCCAAATATTCTGAAAAAACGGAAGACGTACCTTCACATACAGAACTCCATCAATCAAAACCTTGACACCGTCCTTTGTGATAGCAGACTGGTCTGGAATCGGAATGAGCTTTTCCTTCAGGGAATGCACGTAGGCTATACGGTCAACGAATGGAATCAAGATGTGGACTCCGGGAGACAACGTCTTCACATATTTTCCGAACCGCTCGATGACGCATGCCTTCTTCTCCGGAACAAGAACTATATACCAGAGGGTGGTATGGATATGACGGACGGGGGTGGAGAACAGTGAGGGAAGAGGAGAGAGGTTACGTGGCAAGAGGTGATTGGAGAGGAGTGAGGACCGATTGAGAATCGAAGACGGTGATGAAGTAGAGATTGGCCTACAGCTAAGGTGTTTCAACAATTGCAGGTTGTGATTGGAGAGGAGTGAGGACCGATTGAGAATCGAAGACGGTGATGAAGTAGAGATTGGCCTACAGCTAAGGTGTTTCAACAATTGCAGGTTGAATCTTGCGATGTTCATCTTCCAATGCGTTTCCGTGTTCTTGTATGGAGTTTGAGAGAGAGAGAGAGAGGGGTTTATTGAGAGACAGAGGGGTTTAAATAAAAAGGCATTGCCCAAGTGACTTCTTCTTCAAGGCAAGAGAGAGGGCGGGAAACCCATTCCTCAATTTTGTTTTATTTTGCTATTTTTATGTATTCTAACCGAACCAGCAAATCTCAAAACGGCTGACAGCAGTTTTCATAATTAGGGACGAACAAGACAAACCACTGGATTACTGTCTAGTGAAAATTGTTGAAATAGAGATGCGTTTTGTTTACTTGTAAAGCCATTGCCAAGTGGCTTGATCGTCAAGGCAAGAGAGAGGGCGGGAAAATATTCGATTCTTGGGGAGGGGGCGTTTGGATAATGGGTTAAAGGTGGTAATCCACTAGTAAAATAGAATAAAATAGGAGTAGGGCTCATAAACCTCTTGTTTGGAAAGTCATTTTTTAAGTCGGTTACCAATTGCAAAGTTAAGACTTGACCCAGTTGCAAGAGTACCCTTTAACCCCCCCCCCCCCCCAAAAAAAACAAAAAAATGGGTTACAAACCTAGGCAAATAGGTAATAATTGCCCTCACATAGACGTATTTACCCCTCTTTCTCTCTCCACCCACTCATAGTGATGAATCCCTCTCTTGTTAGCTAAGCTCTTCCAAGGGTTTGCACGAAGAAGACGACATCGGTGGTGTGTGCTCAAAGAACGAAGAATAGAGCTTCATCTTGACATAAGTTTTTGCAACAAGTTCTTCTACTCCCCACCGTCAACATCGACAAGCTCCGGTCGATGGTTCCTCAGGATGTGAAAGACAAAGCCAATCAAAGTAATGTTTCTATGATTGATGTGACTCAATTTGGGCACTTCAAGCTACTTGGGAAGTATGTCTTGTCCAGTGATCGGGCGATGGTTTGAAAAGGTGTTAGCAATTTTTATTTTTTACTCGGTTCTGTTGATTGTGTTAAATTTTGTAAGTTTGAGTAGGGTAGGTAGTTTTTTTAAATTAACGTAAAAAGAAAATATAAATGAACAGATTTTTTTTAAATTTATTCTTTTAAACAAGTCTATAAAATTATTGAATTTTAACTCTTTTGAAAATATGACTCGAGCTCAAACTAATCTTAACCAAACCCAAAACCAAAGCAGAGTAGTTGGTGTCGATTAATACCCTACTCAACCCAGCTGTATTGTTAATTACCGCTATTTTTGCTTTTTAATATCAAAATAATTTTTCTTTTGCATTTGTTTTTTCACACTTCACTTCCCTCGCATCACCTCCACGTGCCTCCACTCCCAAAGTCCCCAAAACCAAACACACCCCTTTTGGCTCCCACCGTCCGGTGGCTTCCTTTATGCGCCGATAACAAACATCTCCGACTATAACTTCTCCGATCTCTGTCTCCGGACGCCTCTGCTGCGAGCTACCTGACCTCATCTTCGTCTTTCACTTATCACCTGCACCAATCACCGGCATACCCTACTCCTACTTTGGGGCTTCGGATTTTAAGTTTTGTGTCTCATCTTCCTGGAAGGCCAAATGAGTAGCTCTAGGGAGACCTCACCAGATTGGCTTCGTTGTTTCCAGGTATTTCACATGTATTGGCGCTTGCTTTCCACTATATATGGAAAACTCATCATTACTCCAAAGGCATTGATGATTTTGCTGTATAATCCTTTATAATGTCATATATGAAATTGATCAGGAATTTCAAGCATTTACAGCAACACACAAAAAAAATTCGTGCATCTGTGTCATGAAATTGTATTTGGACTGTATCGTGATACATAACGCCAGTGCTCGCGTGTCTAGATCTGATGGAATTAAAGAACTTATTCATGGACTGTATGTTTATTGTAATATTATAAGTTTTTATATCAGCTATTGCTATTGGTATTTTTGTGATGATTTTTGTCCTTTCCTAGAAGGATTGAGTTGTCTTATGCTTGATCTACTAATTTTTTTGTTTGATGCGCGAAGTTAATTTTTGACAGGCACCAACTCAATCAGCTCTATCATTGTCGTCGGCCTCCCAGTCTCCTCCAGAGGACAACCCTGTAAGCGAGGGTCTCCCGAAAGAAACTTCCCATTCTTCTGAGAAAAACAACTCCCAAGACACTGGGGAGTCTCCAGTTGATAATACTCTAAAAGCAAAGTCCCCCAGCAAGAGTAAAAATAAGAAAGCAGATCTCACACGTTCGCGAAAAAGAGGAAAAGAGACAAAGAAGGTAAAACGATTGTGGGTGCTAATTTAACTGTACTGTAGGGTTTATATATGCAATATCAAGCAATTTTGCATATAAATATACTAAGAATATTCTAACCATGCGGCAGTTAAAGAAATCACAATTTGACTCTAAGCCTTTAAAGAGTGGAGTTTGACATGATTTTGACTTCAAAGTTTCCTTTTCTTTTTAGAATGAAAACATAGATTCCTTCCCATGTTCTAATATATTTCTTCTTGGTAATGCTGCAGGGAATGGGGTTGATGGGGAAGTTTCAAAGAAAGAGACGTCTGTGAAGACTACGAAACCTCATGTAAGAAGCTCTGCACTGAAAATGCTTATTTATTGTCTGGTTTGGAGTATGTAATGAATTTTCCTTAGAGATAAGGAGGTTCCATTTTCCACCTATATAGCATATTTGTGTAGTTTACAGTTGTATTTCTGTAGCTTGATGCACATGTATCAAGGCAGATTGTCTATTTGTTTTTGACATGACTCACGCACTGGTGGGATGTACAAATGAGGAACGTCATATTTTATTGATGGATGCCTGTAGGCATATTTTATTGTGTACCATTCACTCAAGTTTAGGAAATAGTCAAGGTATTAGACTTCTTTTTAGTCAATTTTGTGGGAAAATGAGCAGTCACATTGCTTATAGAAGGTGAAACTGAAAACTCTAGCATAGCAAGCAGCTTAGCATTAATTTCAACAGATGCTAAATTGAGCTGCATATATCGAAGGAAATAATGATTATGTTGTATGCTGATCCTGAATGGAATTTGGATTGTGGAGTTGATAGAATAATATCCTTTGTCCTCTGGGCCAGGACACAATTCAGAGATATATTGCTCGGTGAGTAGTTACTAATCAAATTTGGGATAAAATAGTAGCCACAAAATAACAAGGGTATGAGTAAGCCTGAAACAAAATCTATCAGAAGCTTAAAATAGGAAACTGCATGTCATTTGCTCATCACCGGTCCTTGTATACAACCTCTTCATCTGCATGGAAATGCTGTCTGTCCTTGAAGTTGCTGATACATTGGCCAAGGGAATGTGTGTTGGACAATATTATGGGAGGTGTCATTAAGGTACTAAGGTAGGTTCATCCCGATGAAATCAGGGTGTTGATCCAAGCAAAATCTAAGTTCTCGAAGGGCAGGAGAAGGAATGACAGGAAAATTTTATATATTAATCGAAGTCTAGTACAAAGCTGCTTAGAAGGACTATTTACAAGAAAATATCACCATAAACCCTAATAGTTTTAATTTAGGTGGTCATAATAACTGATAATCTTAATCATATAAATTAGCAAAAATAATCTTAAGGCAGCCGTAGCATACTACTGTAATATGTGAGTGCATGGGAATGCACAAGTCCTTCATGAATAGTGGTGACACACTTGAGTAAATTTAACAGTAGCACTGGTTTCTCATGCATCAGGAGCAAATGGTTTTGACTAAAAAAAAAAAAAAAAGGAGCAAATGGTTGTGCAGACACACACCCAATAAGATATGTAGTCTCACCAAGGATCCAAACATACTGGTCATTCGTGCAGTACTCTCTTAAGGCCAAAAGTAGTTAGCCTGATATCAGGCATTGATTTTTGTTACTCAATCAATATCGGAACTCCACTGTGTATTTTCAGTAATTGGCCTACACATATTACTCAGCTCAAAAGAGCCTCTGTCCCAACTATTTTGGCCGAGATATTTCCTTCCTCGGTTAGCATCATGAGGTGTCAAACTATGTTGCGTTGTGTGCACCTCTAGCATCCCGATTCTATGCACATTTTCAATCTGTGACATAGTTATGCTAGTCTTCCTTTGCAGAATAGTTTTATCAAGTTCAATGGGTTTCTGGCTCTCTAATGTCCCTAATTTGATATGTCTTGCCGTGTACATCATAATAATCTTGGTGTTACATTTCTACTGGAATTAAAGTGACTTGCTAGTTTGTAATTTATTATCATGTTGTCCATACTAATTGTAAGAAAGTGCTTTCATGAACAGGAAACAAAGCATCCAGTCTGGACATTGTCATCAGATTCTGAATCTTCTCCTGATTCCATCTCTGTAAGGGAGCACAACTCACATCATGAGGAATTATCTGCACATGAGATTGGTGGACAGTCTCCACTTAAGGAGGCCTCTAAAGTGAAATCTCCTAAAAAACAGCTCAAAACAGAGGATCATATACCCAGAAAAAGGCAGAAATTAAACAGCCACATGAACAAAGAAGGTATGAAGGCTGAATTTACAGGCCTGAGGTTCCTTGATGATTCCGAACCGAAGTACAAAGGTTTCAGATGAATGACCACAAAACCTCTTATCAAGTTCATGAGTCTATAGTAAAAATCCCCCCCCCCCCCCTCCTCCTTCTTTCTCTGTGTCACATGCTGGCTATGCATTTTTGTAAACCTAAATTATATGAAATTTTCAATGATTGTGCAGGTAATGATGGTGAAATGGAGGTTGTGGAAGACGAAATAACCGAGAAGCATATTGGACCTTATGTCAGAATCTTCTCTAGCTCTGAAAAGTAGTTTGTTATGTCTTTTAGATTAAGGGAATTACCTGACTACACATAATCTGTAGGTTTCCTCTTCAAGGCTACCTTTGGTGCTGTCTGAGAAAGTGCAGCGCTCAAAGGTAGGCCCAGCAATTATAGTGGTAATTAAAATATGGTTTTTTGTATTTGCCTTCTCCTCAGAATCTGTTTCAAGAGTCTGAGTTGCAATATCACAGTTAGTGTTGAGCATGTCTGAATCCACCTGTGCTATGAGGTTTTACATTCCCTATCTTCTTCCCTCTCTGGAAGTTGAACTAAATAACTTGTGTCTCTGGGACAAGGATAAACTATAAGCAGGGGAGAAGCATTACTAGGTGATTGTAGGTCATTGATTGTTTAATTGCTTTATTATAATAGGATCTCTTTGGTAATCATGCACTTGTCGAACCCATCATGTATGCTGCTTTAATTGCATACTTATGCTCCTCTCTTAGGTGCCTGCTATATTGTTATTCTTTTTATCTAACAGATTTACCTTTGCATACTACTAGTAAGAGTTCTGTATTTGTGCAGGCACTTGTGGAGTGTGAAGGTGAATCCATAGATTTGAGTGGCGATGTGGGTGCTGTTGGATGGATAATTATTTCAGATAACCAATCAGGAAACCAGGAAATGCTCTTAGATTTGAAAGGCAGGTGTTTTTCCTGTAATAGTGCACGTAGTTATCGTTTTGCTAATGATCTGTGATTTGCATTATTGTGTCTGCGACTAATCATCGCTGCTCACAACTGATAGAGTTGTTCAACCAGTTGCTGATGATACTTATTTCATTTGATTTCTAAGTGGATATGATGTGCTGTTGAAAAAATATTGGTCCACTAAAATTTGGCACTGTGGTTGATTGATGTTTTGTACTGTGCATTGTATATTGTGGTATGTGGCGCACTATTTGAGACAGGGGCATCGATGCCTGATCACTGGGCATGAAGTGGTGTTCTAGAACTATGGTGTTCCTAGGAGGTTCAGGAGATATGGATCCATGTGGGATCGATTACCCGATGAGGGATAGTATGAATGTGATGTGACTTGTGAATTCTTTGGAATTGGATTGATGTTATTGTTTGATACATGTATTTACGTAATATCTACCTGCTTCAGTGTATTATTATTATTTTTATTTCATATATAGCATGTATACTCACTAAGCGCGTGATTTAGTTCACACTCCTACAACTTCTTTTTTTCAGGTACTATAAAGGAGGATACATACCGGTCCACTGTTAAGTTGATTGAATCTTGTGCAACGTTAGTGTGATATCACTCAGGTTGAGTGTCAGTATGACTAATTGTTGGGTTGTGTATTATATTTATGAGAGATTATTATGACATGTTAATAGTATAAATTTGTCAATAGACTCAACAAACATACTTTGTGATGTATGCTATGTGGGTGTGGAATTTTGTATATGTCTATAACCTGGGAAACAAACGATTGATATAGGTGTTTTATCTATAGTACAGGTTATGAGACAGGTTTTACCATCATGTTTAATGACTAAGGTGATGAGTGGTGTTGTTGCACCTGTGAGATTATTTAATGTTTGATTAGTCAAAATTATAATAATTGTAAACAGGTGTATCAAAAATAATTGCGTCTCATCCTTGGGAGACCCGGATGGGGCGTGACAGTAACCATGGTCATGACACAGACGACTGTTTCCAGCTCAAGAAGCAGATTGAAGAGCTTATTCAGTGCGGCCAGCTAAGATAATATGTTGCTGGTCAAGGACCAACCCCACCACATGAAGAACAAGAGCACCAACAACCCCTCAGTTAGATTCAGACCATCACCGGAGGGTTAGGAGGAGGAGATGATTCCAACTCCGCCAGGAAGCGCACGGCTGGAGAGCTAGACAGGCAGAGTCACATGACTCTTGCCCGATGAAGACACCCCGACGTGGGGAGAAGGAGGTCATCACCTTCTCAGACAGGGACCTTGAGGGGATCCAGATTCTATATGATGACCCTCTGATTTTGACCTTGATGGTGGCCAACTACCAGGTTAAGAGGGTCCTAGTCAACAGCGGAAGCTTAGCCGACATCCTGTTTGCCGCGGCCTATGACAGCCTTCACCTTGGCAGAAAACGACTACAGCCAGTCAGGATTCCCTTGGTCGGCTTCTTAGGAGAGAGAGTCCATCCCTTGGGATCTATCGCCCTACCTGTCACAACAGGAATTGCGCCAAGGAGCTCCACTGTTATGGTAAATTTTCTTGTACTTGATTGCCCTTCTGCATGTAATATAATTCTTGGATGACCTGCCCTCAATGCCCTAAGGGCAATGCCATCAACCTACCATATTCTCCTTCGTTTTCCAACCTTTAGTGGAATTAGGGAGATCAGAGGAGATCAGGTCTTAGCCAGGGAGTGCTATGTGGCCTCTATGAGGGCCAGAAGGCTACAAGAGACTCTTCAAGTTGAGGTGCTTGACCCGAGGGACAACAATACCTTGGAGAGGGGTGAACCTGCTGAAGAGCTTTAGCCCGTAGTAGTCGACGACAACCATCCAGTGAGGAAGGTCTACATAGGTTCCTCACTCTCCCAGGAGCAGGCATCCGCCTTAGTAGACTTTCTCAGGCGAAACACGGACGTCTTCACTTGGTCCCACAAAGACTTGGAGGGCATCGACCCCGAGGTGGCCTTCCACCAGCTTAATGTTGACCCTAGACACAAGCTTGTCCACTAGAAGTTGAGGAGTGTAAGTATAGAAAAGGGGCAAGCCATGGAGGAGGAGGTAGACAAGCTGTAGACGAATGGGTCAGTAAGGGAGGTAGCCTACCCAAATTGGCTATCCAATGTGGTGATGGTAACAAAAGCTAATGGGAAGTGGCGTCCATGCATAGATTTCACGGAGCTCAACAAAGCCTGTCCCAAAGATAGCTATCCTCTCCTTCACATCGATCTCCTCATCGATGCCACTGCTGGACACGAGCTCCTAAGTTTTCTGGAGGCCTACTCTGAGTTCAATCAAATCATCATGTTCTCTCCAGATCAGGAGAAGACCTCGTTCATCACCCTGAAAGGCACTTATTGCTACAGGGTGATGCCTTTTGGACTCAAGAACACCAGAGCCACCTATCAGCGTCTCGTCAACAGGATGTTTGAGGCCCAAATTGGAAAGATGATGAAAGTCTATATAGACAACATGCTGGTAAAGAGTGCAGCAATGGTAGATCATGTGACACACCTACAGAAGACCTTCGACGTGTTGAGAGCCTACAAGATGAAGCTGAATCTTGAAAAGGGCGTCATTGGCATCAGTTCAAGAAAGTTCTTGGGCTTCATGGTCCACAAAAGGGGTATCGAGGCCAACCCGGATAAAATTAGAGCTGTCTTGGAGATGAAATCCCCCACCTCAACAAAGGAAGTCCAATGCCTTAACAGGAGGATAGCCCTCAACAAGTTCATCTCTAAATCAGCAGATAAATGTCTAACCTTTTTTAAGATCCTCTGCAGGTCTTTCTACTGGAGCCTAGACGCAGATTAGGCCTTCCAAAAGCTCAAGGCCTACCTTGCCACACCACTACTGCTCTCCCATGCTATACCAGGAAAGACTCTTTACCTTTATCTCTCATCTTCTCCCTTTACTGTAAGCTCTGTTCTCATCAGAGAGGATAAGGGCATCTAGAAGCTAGTATACTATGTAAGCTGGGCGTATCAAGTGGCAGAGGTGAGGTATTTCGAACTAGAAAAGTTAGCTCTCACCCTTGTCACTATCGCTAGGCGTTTACGCCATTATTTTCAAAGTCATACCATCGTGGTTGTCACAGATCAGCCACTCAAGAGGAATTAGGGAAGCCTGATGTTTCTGGCCAACTACTCAAGTGGGCCGTTGAGTTGAACGAATTCGATGTGCAGTACCAGCCGAGGGCTGCCATCAAAGCACAGACACTTGCAGACTTTGTGGCCGAGTCCACACTGCCACAAGAGTCCCAGGAGAAAGTACCAGATGCCTTGCGCCCACCTGCTCAATGCACACTAACTTCACTCACCAAGAGATCAATTCAGACACTACCCAAGGAAAACTTCATAACCCGGAGAAGGAGCCAAAAGCAGCCCTGCAGGCTGGGCAGCCATGGGCATCGCCCACCTGGCCCTTGGCGCCGCCCACCTTGCCAAGGGGGCTGCCTACCCTGCCTAGGGCGTCGCCCTCTTAGCCCTCATCACATTCTGCTCACTCTTCCCTCCAGGCGTTGCCTCCTTCACCCACTACACCATGCAGGAAACCTATGTAGATGGGTCATCCACCAATAAGGGCGGTGGAGTCAGACTAGTGTTGATCAGCCCGCATGGCCCTCCATTAAAGTACGTTGTCTCCTTCCACTTCACCACATCAAATAATGAAGCTGAGTATGAGGCACTTATATCAGCCCTAAGGTTGGCCATGGAATGGAGGCCCTCAACCTGACTGCCTATAGTGACTCTCAGCTCATAGTCAACCAGGTGAAGGGAGACTTTGAAGCGAAGGAGGAAAGGATGCAAGAGTATCTGTCGCTGATCCAAGCCCTACTCACAAAGTTTGCCTACTTTCAGATACACCATGTGCCTCGAGAAGAGAACGCTATGACAGACGCCTTTGCCAAGTTTGCCTCTGCCAACATACTCATGGGCCGCTAACAGGTCACAGTTCGAGCCTAGCATCTCCAAGATAGAGGGGACAACGTCTACTGTGCATCTTGGAACCCGATTGGATGAATCCTATTCGAACCTATCTAGAAAAGGGCACTCTCCCAGACGACCCAGTGCAAGCTAGAAGGTAGAGGATGAGAGCATCCAAATACGTCATCCTGCAAAACACCTTTTACAAAAAAAAAGTTATTCTTTCCCTTTACTCCATTGTCTCACCCTCAAGGAGGCCGACTATGCCATGAGGGGATATGTGGGAATCATTCAGGATAGGCGTGTATTAGCCCACAAAGTAATTAGGCAGGGATACTGTTGACCTACCATGGTCAGAGACGCCCGTGACTTTGTCAGAAAATGTGATAAGTGTCAACGCATTGCGACTGTGCGCAGACAGCCTCCCAAGGAGCTCACTACCATTCAGAGCCCATGACTTTTCTCTATGCGGGGGATTAAAATCCTAGGTCCCTTCCTTGTGAGTCGAGGCCAGTGCAAGTTTGTAGTCATAATCATCGACTACTTCACTAAGTGTGGGACTTTATATGGAGGAGTCTAGTCTGCCGCTCTGGGATACCACACGCCATTGTGAATGACAACGTCAAGTAGTTTGACAACAAACTCCTCAACAGCTTATGTGCAGACCTTCAGATCAAGCAGCCCCACTCCAGTCCCGCCCATCCACAGGCGAATGGGTAAGCAAAGGTTACTGTTAGGACCATACTCTGTAACTTGAAAGCCAGAATGGAGACTGTAAAAGGGAATTGGGTATACAAACTCCTAGGAGTACTATGAGCCTATCGAACGACACCAAGAAGTCCTACGAGCGAGACCCATTTCTCTCTGGCCTGTGGGACAGAGGTAGTGATATTCGTTGAAATCGGGGTACACTCTATTAAAGTTTAACATCATGACCCTACTAGTAATGAAGAAGACCTCTATATCAACATCGACTTGGTGGAGTAGGAGAGGGAGATAGCCATGCCCAGGAATGCGGAGTGCAATCGTCGTCTAACCAAGTATTACAACTCGAAGGTGAAGCCTCGTGTCTTCTTACCCGGGGACCTG